CGAAGATCTGTAGCATATCACAAAATTTCGCTCATGCTGCAACCAAAAAAAAAAAAACACACCATTTATAATGACTGAATCATATCTATGAGCGCTGTTCTAAACAATATATCTTACAGTATTTGGGCATAATAAATAAAACCGTTAGAAAAATCAGACACCATCAGGTAACGTAACCAATCGATTGAGGTTAATATGATTATTTATAATACCAGAGAAAAATACTGGAAACCAATTTGGTCATGTTTTGGTAGACGAAAGACAATTTTTTACTGCCTAAGAGCATCTATCCGAGGTTTTAACGTCGACTCGAACCACTATTCAGTCGCACCAAGGAATACACACTGCTACAAATACTAGAAAGATTCGACGTTGAAAATCAACAATCACAGCAAACAACGATACAGTCTCCTACTTAACTTACGGTTTTATTTACTCTCTGAAATAATTACTTGTCAACACCTCAGTATAAGGGAGCTGTAAGATGTCGTTTCAATCTTCCTACGAACTGACCATAAAGAGTCAAAATTTTTTTGGCATTTCCGAAGGAAGAGTTAGTACCATAAAGTCCTGAAATTACCAACGACTGCATCGTGGATTGTATGAAGAAATGTCGAGACTTGTAGAGCAACAACATAACAGTGAGAAGCTGATTCGAATGAATATGATGAGCTTGAAAAACTGGTCGGGCGCTGAGCGCTGGATTGTGGAATTATCTGAAGTTAGGAGTTTATTCGACTGAGTTATTTAAAGGATATTCACCATACACCAAGTTTTGGAAGAGAACCGGGAGACAAGGATCGATTCTCATCACCTCCCCGTCGTTTCTTAACCAGTCTTCGAAAGCGTGGAAATAAGTGAGTAAGTAGTAAAAATTTATGGACCTAAAAGCCAATCTAAACGCGGTTTAGACTAACTGACTGAACTGACTGACTACCTTTCCCAACTTTTACTTAACTTGTCGTCTTCAATTTTTTTACTATTTAATTTATAACTTTAACTCTGATATTTTCATTTTCTTTTTTAAGTCAAAATTGTTTTTTTTTCAAAATATTAAAAACAAAAATTTAAATAAATTTATACATGAAAAAAAATTAAAATTTTTTCTTCTCCTAAAGTCTTAAACGTTTATGAAAAAGGAATTCATTTATAGCGCTTATTTGAACTCCGACATATGTTTTTGTTGGTACTTTGACTTGCACACCAATTTCGAAAAAGAAAAAATTTCTTACACAACAAAGTCAATACCAAAACAAACGAAATTCAATTCCAACAAAAACTAGTGGGAAAATATGCGGAAATTACGAAACAAATTCTGCGTAATGGTAAAGTTTTGAATACTTTTTCATGTCTCCATTTTGCTCATTTCCGCTGCCGATCGTGTCATTGCACTGAATGTTCGAAAAAGTTTATGTTTAGGAAATAAAATTTTTTATTTTTTCTATTTGAATTCACTTGTCTAACTTTTTCAAACAAAAACAATGAATGTTTGTATTTTCTAGTGTATAAAAAAACGTTAAAGTGTAAAAGTCAACGAAATGTGAAAAGCAGTTCTCAACATATGCAGGCCCATTCATTTTAAGGTTTCGAAAATAAGCTTAAATAAAAAACGTTTAAGATAAATTCTTTTATGAGTTTCCTTTTTTATTATAAAGTTTTTGGTATTATATGTGATAAATAATTAAATATTTAAACACACAAAAAGTCTAGCGACGTCAAATCGCACGATTTTGGTCGAAAATTTAAATTTGCGTCTGGCAATCTCTCTCACACTAAAGCCATTTTCACTCGATATGTGCTGCATGTGGTCCCATCGTATTGAAACCGTATATGAAAAAAGTTGTTCCTCAATTTCGATCCCAAAAAAATCTGTTTCCCATATGACCATAACGCTTCGAATTGACAGTGACAGTCGCCGATCGTCGTGTACCAAGCAAAAGTATAATGCGAAGGCCTTGTAATATCTGTAACCCATCCAGTCTCTTCGAAATTTTTTGAAATCTTAACAATTGGTAGTTAGTCGAACGATTATGTTCATTATGATCAATATTAGAATCACTAATATTTTAGTTGGTCTTAACAATTTTAACGCGCTGTGCGGTTGCTAACTTTTTAGCTAAAACAAAACCTGTGTGATCTGGCGATTAAGTTTGACAAATGCCAAAATACAGCCCTTTACTATTGAAATCAAGAAATAGATAACCGTTAATCTCATAACGGTGTGTTCAAAAAATATCACGAATTTTGTGTTTTTTCAAAAATAATTTATTTATTCATGAATATGTATTTGGTCCCCTTCAAAGTAATCCCCATGACATATTATACGCTTGTGCCAACGGTTTTTCCAATCTTTGAAGCACTTCAAAAAATAATTTTTTTATATATGGTTCAGCTCCTCCTTCGATGCCATCTTTATCTCGTCAAGCGTAGCGTAACGTCGTCCTTTCATGGGCTTCTTCAGTTAGGGAACAAGAAAAAGTCACACGGGCCAGATCTGGGGAATACGGTGGCTGCGGCATCATTAGTGTGTTGTTTTTGGCCAAAGAGTCGTGCAAAAGCAACGATGTGTGAGCAGGGGCGTTATCGTGGTGCAAAAGCCAATTTTTGTTCTTCCACAAATCCGGGCGTTTCTGGCGAATTGCTTCGCGTAAGTTGCGCATAACTTGCAAGTAATATTCCTTATTGACCGTTCTACCCTGTGGCAAGAACTCATGATGCACCACGCCCCTGCAATCGAAGAAAACTATCAGCAAAACTTTCATTAAAAATTAAAAATCGAAGACCATCCAAAACACGTGCAAGCAAAGCAGCTGTCTACAATTAAGTGAACATTCAAAATGGCCGAGCTTGTCGGTATAAGTGACAGGCATGAGTACCAACATATCGGAATTCGATTATACCTAACCCGCGAAAATTCAAAATTCGCGACACTTTTTGAGCACACCTTGTACGTTGTTGTGAAGATTTATTGTACTTCATCCAAACACTTAGAAACAGCTTACAATTACATTCTCAAATATGCGAAAATGCTGAATTGAATATATATTGTAGCTACACGAAGATGAACTGCATAAACAACTGTATTTTTTAAAGCCTCCACCTTATGGGAAGTTTTAATTAGCAAACTCGTCATGTCAAGCTTTAATACAAACTTTTACTGTGAAATTTCTGGGCGTCTCTTGTCGCTCATATTTTATCTTGCACTGCGAAAAATTTATAACTGAAATAAATGTAAATAGTCAATTACCAAATTTATAATTATTAGCTTAATCGTTCGCTTAAAGGGATATCCCTTATTAGCGCTTTAGCTAGGCCATTGGAACTGTCTTCATGATCTTGTCTTAGCAAAATTTCGATTCGCATCACAGTCAGTTCATCTTAAGATTTTATGACAAGGCTGCATCGAAACGACAAATTCCACGTTAACTAAAACATTTCCATCGTTTCGGTTGAAATATTTGGAAACATTAACGTCAAAGTAGCTATCAAAATATATTTCAGTTCGTTTATACCCGAAACGAAAAGCTGTCGTTAAGGTGTAAAGCCACTCTAGGGTTTTGGAAAACGCAAATTTTCTTCACTCACAGAGTATATTTGGGTTTTAGATATGATATGCAATTGGTTTTAAAATGAAAAAAAAAATAATATTTCGAATAGCTGGGCTTTTTATTTTGCTGCAGCCGCTAAGAGCGAGCGCTGAGTACAATGAAAAATACAAAGGCGTTTTTCTCAAAATCACATTTTTTAAACTGGGAGGACAGATTATACAGATGCTATTGCATCGATTTAGCTGTAATTTTGATGACTTTTTTTTTGGATGTGGCCATTTTTTGATAATTTTTTAATAATTTAGTGCGTATTTTCTAGTCAAAAATCAACCTTTAAACAAAAAATGTGTGCCGCTTTCACAAAAATTAGGTAAAAAATAAATCCGTACGCACTTCCAAAGACCATAGTTTCTATATCATAAAACTTTTTGATTTTCTGCTCTAAGCCTCATCATTTAGGAGAAATCGGTCCTCCCGTGGACGCCTTTCAAAAAAACATGGTTCAAATAATGGACTTTATAACCGCCATTTTGTAACAAAAAAATAATTACAGAATATATTTTTACACTTTAATGTATGTTAAATGAAATGGTTAAATATGAATTCTATTCTTTTCCATATTCCCACAATAAATTTTTAAATATGAGTATATTTTTCAACCTCTACAGTGGCTTTACCCAGTAATGTTAAATCGGTAAACGTTCAAATTGAAGTGTGCTGTTAAATCACGGCTATAAGATATTTCAAATATTAACGTTAACAATTTCATTGCGTGGAATAAATTTTTCTAGCCGGCGCAACAGAATGATATCGTTGCTTTTGTTGAGCAGCTCTGGTTTATATTAGTAATTTTTCATTGCAGAAAAATAGCAAAATAGAAAATTGTATAAAATTTTGCATTGCAAACGGAATTTGTCAAGTTACCGAAAATTTCCCAAAATGCTAGCAATAAATCCATTTTATTGAAAACTCTCGTTTGAGTAGGGATGTGGTGAAATGTTGGCCCTGCACTGGTCAGCCATCAATGTTAACAACTTAGAATTAATTTACTTTTTTTTCATTTTTTTTTTACTAACAACGCTCATTTAAGTTTAAGAGAATTCTGCTAAACTTTCTGTGCCTCACGAAACCGCTCGTTACTTGATAATATTGGCGCTTAAAGTGCTTTATCGCTAGAGACTTATTCCAGAAGACTAGAATTTTTTTTATTTGTGATAAAATTTTGGTTTGGTTTTGGTTAATAAGAAGACTATTATTATCTCCAGGAGGGCGATCAGGCACAGAACTACTCGAAAAAATCTTATTTAGATATCAATATTTGAAATTCGATAGACAGGTGGCTATTTTCCACTCTTCTTTCCGGAAATTGGTATATGATGCGAACTATTTGAAAAAGTCGTACTTATGGATAAATTTACATGAAATTGTATTAATCGACCTTTCTATGCATTTATAATTTTTGCTACCTCTTTTCTGCGGGATCTATTTTCTAGTTCGATCTATTTGGAAAAATATGCATGTACTTGATTAATTTTAATTAAATTTTTTAAAAATATTTCTAAAGGGACAACTTTCGTTTTCCGGCAGTAGACCTGTAGACCTGTAGACCAGAGAACAGAAACCAAGTTGAATTTATTCAAAATATTATATAAATAATATTTTTTTTACCAGAAAGAGACCAACAGATTTATTAATCTCGCTCTTCCAGTCGGCTGTTATGGACGGATGGTATGGGAGATGGATAGTTGCAACATAACGCCAGCACGATTATATTTGATTTTTGAATGGAAGTAATACTAAAAATTTTCTTCCAGTGTCTATCGCAAGCTTATAATGAGTTGTTTTGGTTTCGGCTTTTGAATTCCGCTAAAAGTATAAAACAAAAGTTAAATCTTTAATTTTTATTTGGAAAACAATAAGGGAAGTTTTCCACATTTAATCGTATACTGCGCAAAAACTTTTACATGATTTTAATCCTAATCTTTTAATTCCAATTTTTGTTGTTGATAATTTCCATAATGTTCTTGTCATAGCATTTTTGTTGACTAAAGTTTGAAAATTATTTCACAGGCAAATTACAAAACAAAGAAGAATCATTTATTTGTGCCTGCAAATTCAGATTTCAAGAATTTTTTCAAATACGTCACAGCTACTTACAGTCGTACATTTCATATATTTTATTTAATATATGTAAACTCGGTGAGTGCTATATGCTTGTAGATTGCTTGTAGAGTGTTTCTTTTCTTCGAATCAAAATAAAATTCTAATGACTTCACTCTCAATTTGTTGCCTCTTTGTTGTTGCTTTTAGTTAGAGAGTATTGCAAATTTTAATTAAGTCAAAGCATATTGCGAGTGCGTTGTAATTTTCTTCGATGTTTTTTTTTGTTTGTACAAATGCTTGTGTTCTTCTTATTATAAGCAAAACTTTGCTATTGTTTTTATGACTTTATTCAAAATATGTTATGCTTCGCTAATTATGCGTAAAAATTTTAACTTTTCCTGTTAACATGAAAAGTAATTATATGCGTAGCCATGTACGAATTGAAAATGAGCAAATTTGAGTTTGGAGCAATATAATAAAAATCAAAATTATAATTTTACGCGTAGCAGTAAATCATTCAAATAACCGCCTCGTGAACTTCGATCCGTTTGAGGTGAGTTTAAACCCCTTTTTGGCATATTTTTGGCGGTATTTCAGTCATAACTAGATAAAGATTGATTTTACAGTTATAAAGAGCGAAAACACGGTCTTTCGAAGAAGGCTGCGTGCCTATCGTTAAAAAACTCGAAGAGCCAATCTTCACAGGTCTTTCTTGAGGTCAACTTCTTACCATTAAACGCATTTGCCATGCACCGGAACAGGTATTAATCACTTGCTGCCAGGTCCGGACTATAAGGTGGGAGCATTAAGACCACCCATCCAAGCTCCTGAAGCTTCTGGTGCGTCACCAAAGACGTGTGCGGTCTGGCGTTTTTCTGATGGAATGAATGCTGCCTTCAATCGGTCCATTTACTAGCAGTAGAGGGCCGAATTCAGTGTTTGGCCACAGGAAAGCAGCTCGAAGTAGATGATTCCTTGCCAATCCCACCAAACACAGCAAAACCTGGTGCATCTTTGACATCGAAATCATCGGAACGGAACCTAGCAAACCACTTTTGTGCTACACGTTCGTTTACAGCTTCGATCCCATAAACTAAATTAATTTTTTTATTTTTTCGCCTTCATGATTTCTGGGAGTCATGATTGACCCATGAGCGCAATCTAAAGCGCTAATAGTGCCTCTGGCAAATGGCGATGCAATGGGAAATCTAACCTTCGCAGGAACCATTGAACGGTTGACGGCGTTTCTATCACGCGATGAATACAATGGTTTGCTGTCGATTGACTCATGGGTATTCCCTATTGCTCTTCACAAGGCGGTTAGCACCTTTAAACATTTTAATAGTGTAAAAACTGGAAAATATTTAAAAGTTGCATTATTACCTGTTTATCCATAGATAATGCTGTTATTTTCTGCCTTTTAGCTGGCTATCCTAATCACCTGCCGATTATACCTACTCATCTGCGGATAAAACATGCGCCAAATTTCCACCTGAGCCTTACTGTTCAAGATGTGTAAATATATCTTCCCGATTTTTTCAGACTTCTTAAGAATCAGTTATTTATTTTTTAAGTGTTCTTACAAAATATTTCACCTTTTTCTGGCTTGAAAATCGTCTGTAGTCACGCTAATGGTGTCTGATTAAATCGATTGCGTGTCGACTTCCATCTTTCTCAACCTTTCTTCAACGATCTTTCCTATCATTTGCAGTGTTTCACCTTACGATCCCCTTTTTCAACATTTCTGAATTGCTTATTCAGCAGCGTTGGGGTACCACAGAGAGCAGAAGTGAAGGCAAGTCAACTGATCGGCTGGCTCTTGTTATTGGAGCTTTTGGTAGTCCAAACTTATCATTATTACATACAAATTAATTGAAATAATCAACCACCTGAAGCCAAGAAAGCTGTGCATGATCGAGCGTATCCTTAATCTCTTAGTCCATATGCACTTGAGTGAAGAGAGAGACTGGGTAATATCTACACTTCGTAGGTTCAGCTTCGGCTTTAATTTAGAATTTGTGCTCGACTACACTAGTCCTGGCCCAGCCTTGTGACCTCGATTCCCTATCAACTTGCTCTTAATCATTCACCACCAGTAATTCTGGCAAAAAGTTTTATGAGATCCAACGAAGATGAACTCACTTGTATTCCACATGGAGTAAATTTTTTTCAATTTGACCAATAAATGTTTGTTCTGGTAGCATCAGAACCCAACAAAGCCCTAATAGTGAAACGATTAATTCTGATCTCTTCTCTGTAGTTAGTTATATGACAGTTAGAAGGATTACTAATTCTCTCTAGTAGACCACATATTCTGTTGAGCGAGGTCTTTATCTCCAGTGGTTTTTTCTGACACAAATCTAAGGATTTTTTGGTGAGGTTTTTGATCTGAAGTGGCCAAGTCAATTTCCTTACGTTAGCTTCCAGAACTACAAACAAGTCAGCTAAGTCGTTCTGTCTCAGTCGGTACATTAAAGACATCAGCGTGAGGATTATGTAAGGGTGATTTAGGAGATAACTTGAAGTTTTGGCACTTGTATAAATTGTGAAATTTAGCGAATTTCCTCTTTGCTGGTGTTCATCTTCATCATCTGAAATATACGATTTATTAAGTTATTTACGAAATTTTATTGAGTAACTTATTAAGAGAAGTCAATACAGAATTGCCCATTACAAAAAGGGTGTCGATTAAATGAGATATGCTGAAAATCGCCTGTGAATATTATACCGAGTAAGGTTTTCTATTCAGCAGATATCAGTGGTACTCCTAAAGTAATTGTAGCGTGATAAATTGCATTTGTGTAAGTTTAAATGTTACTTTTGCGCTCTACTCGCAAGCAGCTCACAATTTGTTTTTTTTTTTTTTTGAGCAATCTCTGTTTCCGCGGGACATACTGTATAATTTCAGAAATGAATCATTATATATAAATATCGCGATTTCTACTTGAATCTGCTCTATTTTAGAATTAAGTTGAAATGTGTGAAGTTCACATAAACACAACCACCAAAAAATCTTAATCTAAATCTAAAATGTTACTCACTCGGAAAAGCCTATAATTATTAAGCGCATATTCAGAATGTGTATAAATCAATTAGTTTAAAGAAATATTTACACACCATTCACTATCAATAATGCAGACTTCCGTTCAAATAGTTTTTAATTACGCACAATCCTTTAATCGCTTTATTTCGCATTAAATTTGTATAACGCATTCACACAAGTAAATAATTATTATTTTTGGAATTAGCAGTAAAGCGTCGAAAAACAATGAAACAAAGCCAAACTCCAATAGTGGCTTTAGTGGGTTTTATGGCACATTGAGCTATTGGCGCCGACCGCTGGCGGCGCAGCAGTAGCAGCAGGGGCACTCATGTTGCACAACTAATAATCTGGTATGTAAATACGTAATTACATATATACATAAATATATATATAAATACATGTGCACACACACTCGCTCTAAAACCTCTTTTGTTTTACAATAGCGAGGTTATGTGGGTGTGTGCGCGTAAGCGTCTATAAAAGCATTTTCATGTATCGCCAAATGTGCACGAAAACTTCAGACCAACAACAGTAAACTTAACTTTCGATTGCCTTCTAATTGCATACACATACAAATAAGCATAAATATAAGTTTTAATATGTATACTATATACACTTAATATGTACGTAACATATGCAAACATATACACCACAAAGGCATATTCACATTTTGTTCGTTCAATGAACTAATAACAAGTCACAATTACGTTCAAACCACAAACTTTAATTGACATTCAATGCGCCATCATGGATGGGTGGACGACAGCGATGGTGAGTCGTCTATGGTTGTAAGTGTCTGGCATTGAAGTGTTCACTTTGTTATTGCCGTCTACTGCTGTGCAATGAAGGAGTAAATGATAATTACCGAAAGTTTGCCCTTTCACGGCGAGTGCCAAACGCTGCTCAGTCTACCGCTGTACCGAGTACTTTGCCGCCTTGCTGAGTGATGTACAATATCTATCAATTCGGTGTCAAAGTTTCGTTTATGTCTGTTCAAGTAATAATTGATTTTTATTTTTATTTTTACTTAATTTTATACAATAAATATGCTATCAGTACATAATAATTAGTAGATCACTATTTGATTGCTTGGAAATTTCGTTTGAATTGGCTAAAACTTTCATACGATTGGTGTTTTCTTATTGTTTTATTTATATTTAATTTTACTTTCTTGTAATGCAACGTTAATAAGGGTTGGGGAGGAGTTCACGCAATAGACAAAAATTTTGAACTGTCATTGTGGGAGCAGTTATTGTGTTCAAGCAGCTCAAGTCTTCCGGTCTTAGACCAACCCACGGCTGGGTAATCAACAAACATCTATTCGGAGGCGTTCAAAAATGAGATTGCGTAACTTCCTTGCAGTTTTGTGTGGAATTTGGAAACCGCCACTTAAAATATTAGTATCATTGCTTCGAAAAAAATGGTTCGTATGAGACACCGTCCTTTGATGACGACTTCCGAAAAAGAAACAAAATTTTTTTTTAATTTCATTTTCGTAACGTACATATGTATATACATATATTCAAGTAATTACTCTAAACATTTCAAGTCGATCCGACTGTTATTTTGGAAGCCACACGCATATCTGTAACTACGCGGCGGAACATTTCAAAGCGATAAGCCGGTGTGGCGACAGCTGAACCTGAAATGATTAGTCTTAAATTTTTACACAGGTTTTTGAAAAATATTTTGTAGTACAAAATAGAAGATTTTCCATTACCGCTGAAATGCTTTTTTAATACTTTAACAAAATCCGTTTGATTTTTTCATTTCATTTGATTCACTTCAGAAATTCCTTGAGATCTGCTGTAGCATCTTCAAAAACTGTTATTTTTATAAATAAAAATTTTCTACCTATTCTTCAAAGTTGCAACAATATGTATAAATGCTCAAAATAATAAAGATAAAAGTTTGAAAACCTCATTTTTCTTGGGCTCTTTACTAGA